TCCCTCCCTCCCTTCTGGTGGACCTCTATAATAAAATCCATTGTTCTCTGACCTCACCAACCAATTTTCTTTACATTTCTGCAACCACCACCAAGGCTCGTCAATTCAATCAGATCGGCAAAACTCCTTAATTTCCACTTTTTAGGAAGACGAGAGGTTTTTCTAAGGGCCCAGAGAAACAGTAGCCCTTAGCCAACCTTGGCTAACTGCAAACAGCTAAGTACAGCCAGATCTAATTAGTCCTTGGATGGGAGACCACTAGGAAATCCAGTGTTGTAGGCTGGAATGAGAAAGTGAAATATATTCAGGAAGGAGGCAAGGGCAAATCGGTTCCAAGCTGTTGCCAAGAGGATGATAGGGGTGTATCCATAAAATCACCAGGAGTTGAGTTGTCTGGCTGGGGAATGCTTAAAGTTGCCAAGGTTGAGAGACACTAATATATGGTGGCTGGGGAATTATGGGAGTTGAAGTCCACTCATCTTAAAATTGCCAGGGTTGAGAAACACTGTTCCAACCCTTTGCAGTCAGTGGTTGCATTAGAACTTTTTTACATGCTGTGATCCGCATAAATGGCAATCCGTAGGTAACTCGGGCAGTCCAGGGAGGAGTTGTCTCTCTGAGCGGGTCTTCCAAAGAGTGCCCCTCTTCCTTTCCATTTCTCTCCTTATTCTACAGCAACAGCTGGAGGAAGAAGCAGCCAAGCCCCTGGAGCCCGAGAAGTCGATCTCTCCCCCGCCGCTGGAGTCGAAGCACCGCAGCCTGGTCCAGATCATCTACGATGAGAATCGGGTGAGCTCCTCTCGCAAATCCTCTTTTCAGCCGGGTTTACAGTTTTGAAACCGGTGCCTTGTTCCTAGTTAAAGCTGGAGGGACAGTGGGCTCCTTTCCTCTCTGGGAAATCCTAGCCAGCTACTTCTCAGGCTGCTGGGCTATTAATAAGCCAGCTTCTGCTTTTCTATCAGCGGTATTTTGGTCCGGAGTTTGGTTTAGCTATCTTGGCTAAATCGGTTCCATCAAAACATTGGCTTCCTTTGCACCATGTGCTTGACGGGCCGGTCAGAGGGGAGCTGGGGTGTGAATTCTGTGATGACCGGAGAGGGCAAATTTTCATCCCAAATAGCTGTGGCGATGCGGGGTGGGGGGTGGGCTTAAATAACTTCCCTTGTCTGTGGAAACCATTTCTTAGGGACCAAATGTCCTTCCTTTGAGAGAGCCACAAACGCCTGGGGCGCCTTCCTTCTCACTGTTGGAGTTTTCACCCCCCAAACAGTGGGGTGCTGAAAGGCTAGAAAGGAAGACAGAAAAAAAAAAGATCTCTTCCCCTGACTCTAACTGGGGTATTATAGATGCTTTAAAAATGTTGCTTGGTTCCTGTGACAGAGGGGCTGCGAGAGCCCCCCACCACCTTGGGGGCAGCAGGGGGACTTAAAAATGGCCAATCCCTGGTTGACTGGGCTGGGGTAGCCCATGTGCCGATAGGGCACGGATCTAGGTCCCTTCCCCAGGGGCAGAGTTAAGTGGGTCAGCCGGGATTGTGTGAATATGGCCCTCACACTCCACCCGGCGTGGGGTTTGCTCTTCTGACGAACAGCAGCTCTGCAGGGTTTACAAACCCTCGTCCCCTTGGAAATGCTGCTGATCGAACCGGGTCAAACGTGGCGCTCGCCTTCCTGAGTTCGGCGGGGCGTTGCCAAGCGAATCTCGCCTTCTCGCCAGCAGGTTATTTTTCATCTGTCCCCGAGCGCTGCAGTTGCTCCTCTGATGCGGGCTTGCCTCGGAGCAAACGCCTGTCAGCTTCCTTTCTGAGAGTTGACCTCATCGCTTCCCCCCTTCGCACTCTCCCTCCCAGTTTTTCCTCTCCGGTGCTCGCGCACACTCTCTCTCGCTTGCTGTCGAGTTCATGCAAGGACAGCCACTGCAACGTCTTTTTTTTTCCCCCCCTTTCTGCACTTCTGCTGTGTCAAGAAAAAGCAAAGGGCTGGGATGAAGCAAGCTATTAAAGAGCAGGGTCCCCGTTTGGGGATACACAGAGTCATCCCTTCTCTGCCCCTTGGTTTTCAGATGAAGGGAGCAGGGCTGGGGGAGAACGGGGGGGTGGGGGGGCAGGAGAACCTGCTCCTTTCCTTTTTTTTTTAAATGAAGGAAAAGTATGATGCAGCTCAGCCAGAGAAAAGAGGCCGCCGTGGCTGTTGGGCTCTTGGGACAGTATCTATAGCAATCAATAAGGCTGAATTTTAATTTGTTTTCTGTCTCGGTGCTTGTACCTCCGAAAGGACATTGCTGACGGTCTATAAATACACAGCTGCAGGCTGAGAAATGGAAAGTTGAGCACTTCCCCCCCCCGCCCCATTTTTAAAAAAAGAAATTAATTGCAGCAGAGTACAGTTTGCATCAGGCGGCCAATAAATCTGACAGAATCATGCAGATAGTCATGCCCCTTTTTTGCCCGTGCAGCGAGAGTTCATCTGTCATCGACTAGGATCCAGGATAGGTAAATAGAACCTCCAGCTTTGGAGGCAGTGTACCAGTCAGGGGAGCAATGGGTTGGAGAGGCTGCGGCTTGGAGGAGACGGGAGAGGGTTTAGGTATGAAAAGTCTCAGGTCTGCCACAGTCTGGCTAGAGACTGCCAAGGATAACTTGCACTCAATCCAGGCTGATAATTTGTGGAAACATCCTCAAACTAGACAGACCGCAGGGCAAGGTTGGCCTGGGACCATTTTTTTTCCAGAATTTTTATTAAGAGACTTTATGCAATAGTAAAAGCAAAT